AAGCGTGAGCTTTCGGACGTCCGGAAAGCACAGAAGAAGCTGGAAGACCATTTGGCAAAGTTCGAAGGGCTGAATAGCCTCATCAAGTACCAAGAACCCGTACCTCGGCATGTGTTTTTGCCTCAACAGCTCCTCCTCCTCCTCCTGCTCCCACTGCAACTCAGCCCAGGATCTGGAGGAGAGCCTGAACAAGATCTTGGAGGTGACGACGACGCTTGGAGGCTTCAAGATGCTTCAAGTCAGATGTTCGGAAGGCCTTGTGAGGAGGCTCGAGTAGCAGCGTAGCATACGACCTTTTTGCTGTACATCTATGCTACCCCCAATCTATCTCAATGCTCTTGTGAACAGTCGCTTGCCGAAACTCTAGTCTCAGGCAGTCTGAAGTGCAAACTAAAGCCCTAGACTCTGAGTTTCCGTACCGGCAACACAACAACCACTGTTGAAATGCAGAAGTAAAGCCCCAAGCCCTGAACTCTCACACCTACCCTCCCAAAAGTTCTGGGTTTCTGTCCTTGAGCTTGGCAAAGTGTACTGCCCTTCAATGTCGGCATTGCCATTTTGCAATCTAACTGAACTGCTGGATGACACATGCAAATCGGGGTTTGCTATTAGATTACGACACAACCTTTACGGGTCTTGCCCCATCCAGCAGCGCCTCTTGGGAAGCCGGCTGAAAGGTCGCAAGTCTTTCACTCACCCACCCGATCACCCACTCACCCACTCACAAGCTCACCCACCCACCCACCCACCCATACCCAGTCACCCACTCACCCACTTATCCACTCATCCACTCATCCACTCATCCACTCACCCACTCCCGCTCACCCACACCCACGCCCACTCACTCACACGCACTCACCCACACCCACACCCACCCACGCCCACTCACGCACACCCACACAGCCACAGCCACACCCACACCCACACACCCACACACCCACACACCCACACACACCCACTCACCCACTCACCCATATTATGTATATGTAGATGTAGATGTATATGTATATGTAGATGTATGTGTTTTTGTATATGTTATTCTTGAAGTGCTTGAGGAGAGCTACGATGATGCGGCTCACCCGGCGCATCGAGCGCCTGCCAACACCGATGACTGCTGAGGACCCGGTTCCTCCACAGAAATGCTGCGACATTCGCAGGCCGTGATTCTCGTGGATTTTGCTTGAAAGGAGCAAGAGGTGGAGAACTTTGCGCTAATCAGGCTCGAACTTTGCAGAGGCGTGGTTTTTGCTCTCATCTTCGGCCTTGCCTTGGCCAAGGCAGGCGGAGGGCGAAGAGCACGAGAAAGAGCACAGGGAAAACATGAAAAGCGCCTGACTGAGTGCGTCTTTCAGCTGCCCCAACCTGGCACTGCCATGCCATGAGCCGCGAGGAATGCAGTCGGAGATGGAGCTTATGCAAAAGCAAGCTGATGACCAGGCCAGGCCCACTAGCCCACTGGTAGCAGCATCTCTGATGCAGGCTGTGCTGCGGCGCAGTTTTGCACAGCTATGCAGCGGTATGCATTGAATGGCACTCGTTCACGTCTACAGAGTCCCAAGATATGCGAGGAACAGAAGCAGATGCAAGTGCAACGGGCAATTCGTCATGAGCAGCGCGTTCAAGAGAGCTTGCAAGCTGAGAGTCTCTGGCCAAACCGTGGGGCCAGCTTGTGCTTTTTGGTGCTTCTCTTGGGCTCAAAAGCCTTGGGTTGTCTTGTGCCTCTCAAGGATTGATGAGGCCAAGGCCATGATTGAGTCCATCGACGACAACGTGAGCCTGGTTGTGGCGCGGGAGACGATGCTCCAGGCGGAGGACATGAGGCGCGGTTTGCGAGGACCAGGGTCATTGCACGGGTATCGCCGCGTCGCCAGGTTGGCCAACACCGTGGCTCGGCCGAGCTCGACTTCTCATTTTCAGTGTTGCAGTTGCGCCGCGCGCGATCTGAGGAGAAGGAGAAGGAGCTGCTGGAGCAGACCCGGGCACGCGAACGGGCGGAGGCCCAGCTGGGCCAGGCCAGTGGGCTCTTTGAGGAAGCCAAGGCCGGGCGATGCTAGGGGTTTCGGGGTTTAGGGGTTGAGGGTTTAGGGTTTAGGGGAGGTGGGGATATGTGGGGATGCTCCCGTCGTCATTTTTTTGGCAGCTCGGTGGTGGTCAAGATGCGGCAATGCATCACTAAGACGTGCAGAGAAGGCGTCTTCGAAGCCGAAAAGGGAAAGGTTGTACCCAGGTCCCACTTCGGAGATGAAGGGGAGATCACCGATTAAGTCCATGTACTCACCTCTTTTGGAGTTGCTGACAAGGGGGGGTCTCTCGACCCTTTCGAAGGGTTTCGGGGCCTCTGGGGGCAGAGGCGCTGGCGCAGCGCATGCTGCGTCGACGGGCCGAGGAGCTGGAGGCCGGAGAGTGCCTTTGAGACGAGCGAAAATGGTAAACTTCGAGTTTGGGAGGGGATATTTGCAGAATTTTAGCCTTTTCTGCTTGTGTGCGGATTGTCAGAGCGACTCCGAGCCCTCGGCGGACGAACTGGGAGATGCAGAAGGGCTCGGGGATGCGGACTCTGAACATCCACACTCCAGGGCATCCTCACTGTCCTCCACGTCCAGGCTCGGTCCCATGGATTTCTTGGAGACTCTTGCTTGCCTTGTGTACGGCTAGTCTCGGGCGGTGTTTCAAAGGTAGTGCGCCAACCCGAGTGGCCCAAAGCTCCTTTCTGGATGCCTGAAGTCCGAAGTCCTTCGGCATTTCTTCTGACTTGGCTGCCAAGTCTCAAAGAGCGCTACAGTGCAGCTCGTTGAAGGAGATAGCTTCCATGTTTCTTGCTGGCAGAGTTGCCTTCAGCATCAGCCCTGGCAGGCTGGACTCTCGAAGGCTCGCGGCTCGCATGGGGGCACTGAGACTGAGTCCGAGGGGACCAAGCTTAACCCTCTTCAACGCTGCGCAGGACGAGCGAGAAGATGGTGACCGGGCAGGTGCTCGAGCGACTCCAGAAGTCCCAGAACTTGCCTCAAAGCTTGGCCGCCTCCGGCCCCGCCGGCAGCAGCTCCGGCCCTGGCCCTGGCGAAGACAAGGGCTCCCTGAAAAGGGGAGCCGAGCAAAGCGCTGTCATGAAAGCCCGGCGGCAATCCATGAGCAAAGGTGCCGCGGCCATGGCGGACATCTTAGGACGTGTCGACAGGGAGGCAGGCCTGGGCGCTAGCGGCAGCACCCTGCAAGGTGGGGATGTATCCCCTCAGTCCTCCAACACCATTCGCACGTCGAAGTCTGGGCGACGCCACAGCGCACTCGGCGCTTTCGGTATGGCCGCACAAAGGGCGGCTGGAGACGCTTCGGGTCGCCGAATGTCTGGAGTGTCTGGGCAACGTGCGGCTCTGCTGGCCGTGGGCGGTTTCATGAAGGGCGTCAACCAGGCAGACGAAGGAGCTTCTGCGAATTCACCACACTCTAGCAAAGGCTCGCCCAGCCACTCGACGTCTTATCGTGCTGACCAGCCACTCGAGCCAGCTTCGAGAAAGGACGGCCGAAGAACGACTCTGGCCAATATGCTGAGTAGTGCTGCGAAGGCTCAAGCGAGAGCACGTGCCGATGCCGACGAGGAGTTGGAACTGGGCATCAGCAACTCAATGCGCTCGCCTGGAGGTGGTGCGGACTCTGAGGCCCCGCAGCCCTCGCAGTCTCTGCGAACGCCGAAGTCTGGTCGACGGCACAGCGCACTAAATACCTTCGGAATGGCCGCACAAAGGGCAGTTGGAGACGCTTCGGGGCGTCGACTGTCTGCAATGTCGGGGCAACGTGCGGCTCTGTTGGCGGTGGGTGGTTTCATGAAGGCCAGTGCTCAACCTACAGATGATGAGGCTGCGGCTTCAGGAGACTCACCCGAATCCGGCAAAGGCTCGCCAAATCGCTCAAAGTCTTCTCGTGGCGATGACCAGCCGCTGGAGCTAGCTTCTCGAAAGGGTCGTCGACGAACGACTTTGTTCAATGCGTTGAGTAGTGCTGCAAAGGCCCAAGCAAAAGAGCGCACTGATGCCGAAGAAGACTTGGAACTTGGCGTCAGCAACTCGATCCGCACGCCTGGAGGTGGGACGGACCCTGACGCTCCACAGTCGTCACAATCTTTGCGTATGCAGTCGAAGCCTCGACGACGGCAAAGTGCACTCAATGCCTTCGGCATGGCTGTGCAAAAGGCGGCCGAGGATTCTGATGCCCCGCAGTCCTCGCACTCTTTGCGCACGCCGAAGTCTGGGCGACGGCACAGCACGCTTACCTTCGGCACAGCTGCGCAGTCCGAGAACACCGAGCTAGGCCGCCGACTGTCTGGTCAACGCGCGGCGCTCCTGGCGGTGACAGGTTTCATGAGGGCCAACGAAGGCCCGGCGGAGACGCAGCCGACAACTTCGAGGTCGCTTCGGGGAGCACCGGGTTGAGTCGGAGCAGAAAAAGCGCCGAAGACCGGCACTGGAGCTGCCCCGTCCACGAGTGCTTGAAGATCGTGACGCAGGGCTCAACTGTTCGCGATTGCACTGGCATCTGGGCTGTCACTGTGTCGACACCATCGACTTCAAGATTTGGTTGGGCAGCGCGGTGGGGCTTGTGGCGCGAGGCAAAGGACACTGGAGTCCAGGCAAATAGAGAAGCCCGGCTCTTTCGGAGCACTTGAACCGGGGCTCGGAAACTCGAGCCGCCTGGTGCTGGCGGTGGCCAAAGGCCACCTGCAGCGCCAAGCAGTCGACCCCTCTTGTGAGCGCTGGGGAAGAAAAGCAAGGCAGGGCTCTTGAGAAACGTGTGAGACAGGACCACGTCTGATGTGCGGGCTTGGTTCAAAGATGGCTGGAGAGCTGCGGCGAGCTGCATTTTGCCACGACTTGGCTCCTTTGATGTCTGTGGTGTGCACTGCAAGCTGCCACTAGTAGGATACCGCAAGACTGACCCGCTTTAACAAGCTGCATCACGAGCCAGGAGGCTTAGTGTGTTGGAGTTCATTTGGAGCTTTGTAGCATCTCATGCTCTCTGTCTTGAGCAGCAGTGCTGTCCACCTCAGTGAGGAGCTGCGCTCCTGGCTTGCTTTCCGAGCACAGAGCGGAAACGAGGGGAGAGAGAGCCGGAGAGAAAGACAGACATTGATTCTGGTGACTGTGGTGTGGCAAATATCTGAGCAGCAGGACAGCACAAAGCGGCCCACCACGTGCGCTCGACGTACAGAAGCAGAAAGAAGAGGGAACCTAGACCCATCAAACAGAGGCTTCGCCGGCTTAGCCGACGACTTCCTTCCTTTCCTGGCTTTGCCAGCTCTCCTGCAATTGCCTTCTGAGCAGTCTCAGCCGGGTGCTTCGAGAGCTTTTCTGCAACGGACGAGCAGGGTCATCGAAGCCTCCTGGAAGCAAGCCCATGGAAATTCATGATGACGTCCTCAAGAGAGGAAGCCGCGCCAAGCAAGGCTGCAGTACCCTAAAGACAGAACCCTCGATGGAAGCAGAAGTGATGATGGAGGGATTGTCGTGTTGTGTGGTATCACGGAACTCGTATACTTTCAGGTTCGGACAGTAGAGGGCGATACACAGCTGCCAGGCACCGCACGCGGCAGGACCAAGTGGTTGCTGAGCTTTGTGGGAAGACCCCGCCATCGCGCATTCTGCCCCATGGGGAGGATCTCGTGGCTGCACGCTGCGAAGCAGCACAGCTGGTCGGGTCCCCAGAGAGGCAGACTCATGGGGAGATGGTGCAGGCCGCCTGCTTTGCAAAGCAGGCAGCGGCCCTACAGCAGAAAAGGACATGGGTGGTGCAGCACATGGAGTCGGTTTTCAAGGCCAGGCCTGCGAGGAAGCAGAGAGGGCCGTTATCGGCAGGGCAGAGACTGTCAAAAGGTGCTCCAACAGCGCAACGAGCGGCTGCTGCAAAGCTTGGCTTTCCATGGGATGATCATGGCTCGGAGCTGTAGCCAGGCGGGGGTCCTCCTAGCTTAAAGCATATTCTGTGCCTCTGCTGCTTAGTTGCGGAAGATGAGCGGCGATGAAGGTCTGGCGCCGGTCGGCGTCTGCTGGTCTGGCCGCTCTTCTAAGAAGAGAGGGCATGGCCCGGGCCGGGTCTCGGGAAGACTGCGAAGCAGTTGTCTCCAGGCTGAGTCGCCCGCCCCAAGCAGTCCCCGCCGCAGTCCAGGTCAGCTGGCCTGTTTGGCGTTTAAGGGGGCATGTTGCCGATGCCAGGCAGAGCAACAGCGTGGCAGTGGCTCTGGCAGAAGAAGGCGCACGGTGCCAGCATGCTCAGAGACATGTCTGAAAGCAGCTTTTCGTTGATGAAATCCTCGACCACTGCATCCGTGTACAGCGATGATCATCGTACGGGCGTATCGCAAAGTTTATCGACAAGTTCTGTGCCGCTTATCAGGCTTGTCAAGGACTTCGAAGAGACGGTCAGTCAATAAAAATATCTTTGAGTGCTGTTCTGATTTCGTCCCCTATTTGGCGCGGCTCCGTGGCCGCAAATTCGAATTCTACGGAGATGTATTTCTTCTGCTGAAGCTCGCCTTGCTGATCTGAACAAAACCGGTGTGGTCGACAAAACCGTTACCTGCCACGTGCGGCATGACGCATGACTGACCGATGGGAAGTTGATTGGTCATGATGGTTGGTGCATTGCTCTGATGTCAGCATTGCGACTAGTTCTGCCCCACTCCTGCTTATGCGCTGTGGACACTCGCATACAGTGAACCCCAAGAGGTTCTGAACCGATGAAACCCTTGGGAGGTCTTTGGCCTTTGGCGCCGGGGCGCCGAGGTCGCCCGAAGGGCCCGGCACAGCGAGGAGCACCACGCGGAGCCAGTGGCCCAGTGCTCTTCGGAGCAAAGAGGCGGCTACGTAAGAAACAGAGCTATCGAATAAAGAAGCGACGTGGTCAGTCGAGTCATCGTCATAGTTTGTCATGCAGCAGCAGGAAAACGCGACTGAGTAGTGTAACATAGTTTAGAATTAGTCAGTTTGTATAGTCCAACATCGCTGTAGAAACTGCAAGTTGGATAGATAGAACAACGACATGCGTGCATGCGTAGCCTATCCATCCCTCCATCCAACCATCCATCCATCCAGCCACCGAGCCATCCACCCAGCCACGCACAGACCCAGCCACCGACCCAGCCAGCCACCCGGCTAGCCAGCCAGCCAGCCACCCACCTATCTATCCATCTATCGATCTGTCTATCTGTCTGTCTGCCTATCTCTATCTCTCTATATCTCTCTATCTGTCTGTCTGTCTATCTATCCATTATCTATCCTTTATCTATCCTTTATCTATCTATCTATCTATCTAGCTATCTATTTACCTAATCTATCTCTCCTTTATCTAACGCTATCTATCGATCTATCTATCTATCGATCTATCTATCTAGCTATCTATCTCACTGTCCTTCTATCCTTCTATCTATCTATCTATCTATCTATCTATCCTTTATCTATCATTCTGTGAATCTATGTATCTATCTGTCTATCTATCTATCTATCTATCTATGTATCTATCTATGAATCTATGAACCCATCCATCTGTCTATCTATCTATCTATTTATGGATATCTGTCTATCTATCTACCTATCTATCTTTCGATTAATTAATTACTATCTATCTATCTTTTTATCTATCTATCTGCTCATAAAATCTACTCCAATCTAGTCCAATCTATCTTCATATGCAATTGATGTATATACGAAGTAAGTACACAATCGACTACTCCAATTATTCAGTGATGTATTGTGGGAGCACTATCACGATATGTCGGTTCAACCAAGAAGTACGCAGTGCAAACAACTATGCAAATACAGAAATGCGTTGTGGCATCAAGAACCTAGAATAGAACAGGTGCTTTCACATTTCTTGATGGTCGTGCATCAACAATATAAACCCGTCTGAATGGAAGGGAAGTGTGCACATGCAATAAGAGTCCTGCCATGGGTTGATCGTGCAGCAATACACAGTATGACAAGGCAAGATGCGAAATCGTTCCAGAAGGCAGTCATGTTACTTAACAACTTTCTAGTGAAAGGGCCATGGGTGTTACCGACATGATCATGTTGTGGAGCGTCGTTTGCACTCAGCAAGTACAGGAACGAGGGAAATCGCCAGCATGCATGCCTGTCTTCGAAGTCGCCTTGAAGGCTTTGCATGTGGGCCGCGGCCGCAGGGCTCGAAAGTTCTGATCTGGTTCACCCCGTGCGGCCGGTGCGGCCCGTGCGCCCTCGACGATGAGGGTCCCGAGGAGAAGCTGAGCTGCCGAGGCCGAGGCCTTTCGTGTTGAGGGCGCCCTTCTGTCCCCAGTCTCGGAGGCTGAGGCGGGATGGCAGCTGCCATCGCCGCTGCAGTTGCCGACCCAGAGACCGGTGCAAGTGCTTCCGTCGACAGTTCGAGTGGCTGCCTTCTAATCAGAGGTTCGCCGTCGCGACGCTGCTGAGAACGACTCTCCCAAGTCGGAGGCCTCCCTGCCGGCCGCGGCCGCGGCAGCCCTGAAGAAGTCCAAGTCCCAGGCGCAAGTGGCGGTGATTTCCCAGAGGTTTTAGCGATGCCATGTTTGAGTCGTGTGGGAACGCTGGCCCGCGCACAGGCAGCACTGGACTTGCCGCCGTACGGCAGTGGCAAATGAGTTGCAGCCAGTCTCCATCAGTCTCGTCCTCCCGGTCCTGTGGCTCCGCGCGAGGCTTCTGGAGGTACCAGCGACAATCTGCTGCTGCGTGCCCCGCCGAATTCGTTCACCTGTTGGTTAAATCATGTGACCGCATGCTCGGCGTTTCGAGTTAGCTCCGGCAGTCCGACAGGTACACAGGCTTGCGAGTACAACTCACCGTGGCCGCATTGATTGCTGGCAACTTTCTCATGAACGTCATTGAGCTCTCCGGCCTTGTTTTGCTTAATGGCTCTCTTGGCGCTAGACGTGTCGCAAATGCTCCGACTTCAATGTTGTGACTGTGTCTTAGGAAGTGGATCGATCCTGATGGCGACACCTACCCGGATCTTTGGGCCCCTCCAGCTGAGATTGCCAAGGCAGTATGACTCGAACCCCGCGAAAGCTCAGGTTGGCGCCGACATCTTTTTCAATGCGCCTTAGCTCCACGGTCCAGGGCCAGAACTTTCGGTGGAGTCTCCGACCCAAGTCGATCCAGGTGAGCTTCGCCATCGAGCTCGTTTGGAACATGTACTCCTTCTGGTTATGGCGTTTCTGGAAGCTCGTCACTCACACCACTGCTGTGCGCAAGCTTTCCTAGCCAAAGCCTTGGTGGACATCGCACCTGCAACAAGCCTCTGACAGACAACAGCCGAACGACAGTGGCTGGCGTGCATAAGACTGCAAAGTCGCACTGAAAGCAATCTCTTCGAGCCGTCGCGTCGGCGGTGTAGTCTGGTGCATGCCTTGCTGATGCAGTTTGCGGAGGAAGTCAGCCTGGAACGTGTTTGACGTTATCGTGGTCACCATCGGACCCCGGCAGAGGGCTGGCAAAAGGTGTAGGTTGACCTTAAGAAGGTGGCTGTTGAAGAAGTGCTTTTGAGTTGGACCGGGAGGACTCATGAACCTGGCGCTGCCCAACCTGCCCGGTCCTTTGAGCCTTCTCCGCCGGCCGCCCAGTGGAGTCTGTGCCACTGCCTCCCCTTCCGTACGTTCTGGCCGCGTCTCTGTCGCCGTCGCAGGCATGATGAGGGCTTCTCGGGCTGCAAGAAGCTTTGCAAGGTGCAGCACCGCCGCCCAGCCACGGCCATTGAGGCTTTCCGCGTCTTCCGACTCTTCAAGCGCGTGGAGCCACTTGAGAAAAGCGTAGTCAAGGCGAGAGAGAGGGCCCACAGAGGCACTGCCCCCTCACCTTTTCAAGATCTTCCTCCTCTCTCGCTCTTTCGCCCAGGGCCTCGCCTCGCCTCGCCTCCCTGGCTCCGAAAATCCGAGGTCGCTGCACAAGATCATCAAATCCTTGTCGAGAGCCGTGCCCGGAGTTGCCAACGCGCCACCTGGTGGCACCTGGCGGCGCCTTCGCGCCTTCGCAGAGCCCTGTGAGAAGCAGCAGCGAGGTTTCTCATTCTCCTCCTGGTGATGTCCATCTATGCCATACTAGGCATTTGTTTTGTGTGGACATGCACGCAAATCTGGAAGTTGGCTGGCGATGCCGCTGTTTTTCCTGGCACATGACACCTGGGCTCTTTGATGCTTTTGATATATGTCTTAGACGCATTTCTTGGACTCTCTTGGAGGCGTGGAATTCTTCGGGACCTATGCGAACGGTGGTAACTACACCAACGAGTGCCCGTGACGCATCAGTGATGCTGCGGTTCCCTGCAATGCGTCTGAGATGACCCTCATGAGGTTTGATGAAGTCGTGGAGATCATCACAGCCAGAGATTCCCGTTTCGAAATGGCGCCAGTCTCTGCAGACGAAGCAAAGCACAGCAAGAGCTCTCAGGAACTGCAGTTCGGTTATGAGAACTTCGGAAGCTTCCATCTTTCCCTCTTCACCATGTTCCAGGTCCTCACAGGCAAGGGGCGGCAAAGGGCACAGACAGGGCACAGACAGGGCACCTTTGCCTTCTCTCCCTCGAAGGCGAATCCTGGTCAGAGGTGATCACCCGGCCGATGTTGCACACTACGGATGTCACGCAGGCCCCCTTTTGGGAAGCGATCGAAGAGTGTAGAGAGAAAGAGCCTTTTTTTGCCACTGTCACAGGCAGCTGGCCCCTTGGCTGAAGAGCTGAGACAGCTCGCTATGCCTAAACGCCTGGGGTCAACTTCATTTCCTGAGGCGTCTCCTTGTTCTTCGTCTCCTTCAACTTGGTCAATGGCTCCACGGCCTTTCTGTGAGTTCTGGCCATGCATCCTTTTCGGAGATTCCTTGACGTTGTGCTTGCACCATCTTGCACGTACTTCACGAAACAGCAGCGACCGCGAGATCGTGTGCAAATGTTGTCGAAGACCCCGGACCACATCCCCGCAACGCTGCGTTTCGGGAGAGGTGCCGTGTCTGAGGCGTTGTCTTGATAAACGTGGTGATCGCAGTATTGCTAGAGAAAATGGTCGATGACGAGGTGCACGATTGAGTTTGTCACAGAGCAGTATGTGTTGCTGCGAAGACGTGTTTGACAAAGTGCTGTGTGCGCCGCTCCGGCCAGAAGCACGACACGCCCGTCGAAGAAGGAGATCAGGAGGCAGGAAGCCCAAAAAGCCCAGGAAGCACGTAGGCACAAGCCGCCCTGGCCAAAGGCATCTGCAAGCCTTCCCTTCGAGGAGCAGAACGGCTTCCATATGGACGGTCATGGCCCCTAGCAATAGAAGAGCTTGACTTGTGTTCCTGCAGTGGAAACCACTGCAAGGTCCGGGGAAGGACTTCAGCAAGGCAGGGCCTGGCTTGGCTTAGATAGAATTTAAAGGCCTGTTCGGAAGCCTCCAGCTTCCGCTGGAAAATGGCCATGGAGCTGCTTAAATCCGTCCAAGGGGTATACCGATACCGGCGGATTGCATCAAGGCATGTCGGAAAGCTGCGGACTTTTGAGGTCAACAAGTTGCCTGACAAAGCGGCCGTGGCAGCGGAGCATACGGTCAGCGGCCGCAGTCCCCCGACGGGTGGAGGCCAGCTGCAAGTCTCGGCAGCCACTGCACGAGCTCCGGGGCCCTGCAGGCGATCCACGAAAGGCCGAGGTGCACGCAAAGTGCTCTGCCAAAAGCCCATGAACTGTGTGACCACAGTGAGCAGGCCGGGGAAGATGCGATGGGGCCGACCAAGGCACCGCTTTCAGCCATCGCAGAAAGAGCTGGAAGACTGGTTGCGCAGGAGATCACGCACCTGAGCAGTATCGCCGCCATGGAAGCAGACTTCCAGTGTCCGCGCCTTAGCAACTCCCTAGAACATCCTGACATCCTGAACCGACCTCAAACCCTCCCTGACACAATAGACGTCTTTCTCCAGTCAAGAGCGCTCCGAGGCTTGAAGAAGGACATGCAGCTTGGGCCCGCATTCTACAAAATAGGGGGAGAGGAGAGAGTTCAGCGAATTGTTCGGCTTGCTATCGTTGGGGGGCTCCCAAAGGTAGAGAAAGAGGCGCTCAGAGCGAAGAGGAGCCAGCTGCGCTAGGGCTAGGGAGGATATCGGAGCCGAGGTCCAAGATCAAGTTGCAAATGGAGCTTTTGATGAAGGAGGCGAAGGGGATGTCGGGATTTGTTGGGCGGCGGACGTTGTGCTAGCTTGCATGGAGGTCTTCCAGAAGTAGTACAGGGAAAAAGCGCCCTTGAAAAGCACATTGTCAGTCTCATGTTTCAGGGCCTTCTGCGAAGCAGAGGCGTGCCCTCAGACTTAGGGCTGTTGCCAGTTACTGGCGCAGTGATTCGTCGAGCGCTGGCCCTGGGGCCGCGCACGTTAACGCGCGCCGGAGCCGGGAGCCGGGTGAGTCCTGTGGCTCCCCATTGGTTCTGCGAGTAAATGCATGAGGCCTCGGAACTCGGAACACTCCATGGTTTAACCAAGCGTCTCGTTCGCGCAGCAACGAAAAAGAGGGCAATGGGCCATGGCAATGGGCCCTGCTCCTGCACCCAGAAGGAAGGAAGAAGCCTTCTGCCTCTCAGCCGAGGCTCCATGGACAGAGGGCCTCCCTGCTGGACCTCGAGGAGAGGGGTGATGGGGGCGTCGTTCGAGTTGCCGAGTTTCGTCGAGTTTCGGGTGTAGGGTTTAGGGGTTTGGGGGTTTAGGGGTTAGGGGTTTATAGGTTTTGGCTTTGCAGGGTTTTGGGTTTAGTCGGGCCGGGGACTGCTTGTCTGCGAGGAGTGCGTGGAGCGCCTGCACGGCCGGCGCGTCGACCTGGAGGCGCTGCTCCAAAGCGAGCGGCGCCGCGTGCAGGCGGATTTTTTTTTCTTACGGGGGGTCCCCTAAACCCTGCAAGCCCTAAACCCCTAAACCCCTAAAGGCCCTAAACCCTGAAAACCCTAAACCCTAAACCCTAAACCCCTAAACCCCTAAAGCCCAAACCTGAAAAACCCTAAACCCTAAACCCCTAAAGGCCCCAAACCCTGAAAACCCTAAACCCCTAAACCCTAAAGGAGTCTAATTTTAGCGAGCTGGGGCCTCCTCCGGGGACCGCCTGCGCCGGCGCCAGGAGTTGGAGACGGAGCTCAGCCAGGGCCCGGAAGGGATCTCCTTGGACGCAGGATTTATAGGGTTTATGGGGCTTATAGGGTTTAGAGGGTTTAGAGGGTTTAGAGGGTTCATAGGGTTTATAGGGTTTATAGGGTTTAGGGTTTAGGGTTTAGAGGCTGGTGCCCGGTCGCGCTCAGGCGGCTGCAAGGAGCAAGTGAAGGAGCTTCAGAGGACTCTGAAGGACCCTGACAACTAACACTCTGCTCAGATCGTCCGATGTGCTAGAGATGCACTGGGCTCCATTTTCAAGCTGCTTTCTTCACGTGCTTCACCATGCTACAATTAGGGCGAATATGTTTGTGTGCGCTCTGCTCCAGATCACGGAAGTGGGAGCCGAGAAGCTTCGAAGTGCCTGTGCAGTCACTCCCACTCTCTCCGGCTCCCTGCAGTCTCCCCCCGGGCCCCACTCGCTCAGTCTGCTTCTGAGCTCCTCCCCACTCTCTCTCTCTCTCGCTCTCTGCTCCACTCTCCCCCGGCCGGAGGACCATAAAAGTTCCTCAGTAAGCACTGAAAAGAGACACTTCGCTTCATGCAGCGCTGCTTCTGACGTCGCATGTTCTGGAGAGTCGGAGGAGTCCTACGTTCAGCAGTTTGAAGCTTCGCAGAAGCGAGAGGAGTTCTCCGGCTTAGTTTCGAGGGAGCGGGGTTCCATGTTTCCTCGTGTTGCTGCCGATGCTCAGGCTCGAGAGCCACTTCAGCAAGCTTCTGGAGGCCGAAGCGAACAATGCGATCAATGCCCGAAGCGAGTGAGAGACGTGAGACCATCAGGAGCTGCACCGCATGAAGGCTGACAAAGAAGGCACAGCACTGGCCTGGGTCGCATTTGGCAGCATGTGGCGCGCAGTGCAGGTCTGGAAGGACAGATCCCTCAGCTGCGGAAGGACCTGAAGGCAAGGGACGACACGCGGCTTCCTCGAGCCGCCTCGCTACGCCCCAGGAGGCCAGGGCCCTCAACGCGGACCAAGAGCCCGGACCCCGCAACGTGAGTCGCAAAGGTGACGCAGTCGCTTTGAGCAATCGCGAGGTCCCAGCTCGTGGAGGCCACGGGCGAACTGTCGCTGGCGGAGGAAGTCATCGACGTGGGGTGCCCGGCCGCGTGAAAGGGCGAGAGCTGGGCGTAGTGACGTGCTGGTTCTGAATGGCAGGATATCACCAGCTCCAAGTTGGTGGGCCTCCGCCGCTTCTTCGAGCGCGGGGCCCAACAGTCTTTCCTAACGTTTGCCGGCGCCAGAGCCCTCTCTGACACTCTGCTACCACCCTATGTAGGCACTACAACCTGCCAGCAGTTTGTGCGTGGCTTAGAGATCGTCTCGCTCTGCGCCATTCATGAACCTCTTTGGTCTGGAGGTTTGTCGCTGTTTCGGAAGGCGCGCGCAAGTCTGACTCAGTCGCATGTCCGTGACGAGATGGTTTGTTACACATCACAGCTGGAAAAGCATCCTATGATCAACTGGACGAGATCTGGGCACGTGTGCCGTGTACTGGCGTTCGTCAGGTTGTGGAGCTGCAGTGAGCCTGGCATGCCAGAAACAAACTGCAAGGCTGCTTAAGGTGTTGCAGTTTTGGGAATCTGCGCAGCGGCCAGGCACCAGCTGCGGACCAGAAGCCGGCTCAGCCCGACACCCGGCGATTTCAGCTTGGGAACGCGGGGGGGGGGGGGGGGNNTGGGGGGGGGGGGGCATATTCCGAGCAAAAACGGAAAAGCCCAGGCCAGACGAGTCAAGCATCGCCGGGGCCATAGCGCACTAAAAGGATTCCTGGATCATATGGCCCAGCATGGCTGAATTTTCCTGCCGCTGAACACGATCATCCTGTGAACCCGTGCAAGGGAGACCCCCCGCTCGCCGCGTCTAGAGCGGCAGGGCGCCCAAATCCAGCAGTTACCCTCTGCTCTTTTGCTGTCGAGTTCGTGAGGACTCGGGCCATCGAGAGTGAGGCTGACCTCTCGTGCCTGTCACTGCATTCGGCGGCATTTTTCTCTCAGACGTGCAAGGTGCGGCAGCTTGGGGCCGTGACCCGCTGTAGCTTACAAGGCTACATAGAGGGCCAGGGCCCAAGCGGCGCCACAAAGCGCGGTTGTGGAGGCTTTTGACCTTCCTGGGAGGCCTGAACGTGGACCAGGTCACCTCGAGCATGGTCGTGCAGGCCCTCGCCACATGCTCCACAGAAGCTCCTTTTTAGTGACATAGAGAGGAGCGCCGAAAAGGATTCATCGAAAAAGAGGGGTTGAAAGTGCTACTAGGCCTCCTATAGTCCAGGTGGTCCTGGCGCTCCTGGGCCTGGACCTGGGGAGGGCGCCCTGCGATGCCGCGCGCTTCGTGTCGCTGCTGGCGGCCCCGCCTGCCTGGGAGCAGCTGGACACGGCCGATGTCGAAAGGGCAAGCCATGGGGGCAGTGGCTCAGGTGTCGAAAATCGCCTCATAGCTTGCCTGTGATAACAGTCAAAGTATGCTCCGACCGTAGATGGTGAGAGCGAAAAATCTCCACGACGGGGCCAAGCGAGCAAGCAACAGCACCACGAGTCTTGAGGTGCAATGAGTAACTGCAACACACACTTCGTGCTTCGGCAATTCTGAATCAATTTGGGAAGGCTTGACATGGCTTGACCCATGATTGCAGTGCTCATGTTCACGGCCCTTGGCTTGAACTGTTCGCAGAGGTTTCAGGGGTTTTAAGTGCCATGGCCCTGGCACAAGCTCGCAGGTTCCATGAATCATACGACATGCGACATACGAGTTGCGGCAGGACTTCGCCACAGCGCTCTGGGGCTCCGCGGGTGAGCCAGCGGCGGCAGTCTGGTGCCCTGCGGTTCGCTTGATCCTCCCGGATCGCTTCTGGAGGGGGCCATTCCGCGAGCCGGGCAAAAGCAGCATCATTAAATCACCAGCTTCAGCTTCTGTGGCTCGCGTCCCCGCGCACTGCCGATCCTGCAACAGATTTTGGCCGTTCTTGGCCTGGCCTAGCGAACGCTCCGCACAAGCGCAGAGACTCTAAATCTTCGCGCAACGCGCTGGGGGAGAGGGCGGTCTCCTAGCGCGTGCAGCACGCGCGGAAGAAGACGCCGGTAGGGCGCCTCGAGCAAAAACCCAAATTTGCCGGCGGGACGTTCCAGCGCGCCACACCTGCTTTCTCCGTGCCGAGGTCGTTCAGCAGCACCGGCCGCGGGCCCAGCCCCGAAAAGCTTCGTCAATAGGTTCGTTTGGATTCTTTACAAAGAGGGATTAGCTTGACCCCTCTTGTCTCCAGTGCAGGGCCCGCTTGGCGGCACTTTCCAGCCGAATGCTCAGAATTGCAGATTTGCATGCGGAAGACGTGCAAGGAGCCGAAGAGCAGAAGATGCGATAGACTCCAAAAGTTCGAAGAAGTGTGGCAAATCTAGTCGTCCTTCGGGCCTCAGGTCAGGGAAGTGCAAGCACGTGCAAGCTTTCACCACGCCATGGCTCCTTGGAAGAGCGAAGACGCGACCAGGGCGTCGGATGCCGCGCCTAGTTTAACCGCGGCGTCAGCTTCGAGCGATCTTTACAGAGCGCCCCTAAGCGCCGCTCTTGGGCCCTTATAGAGAAGTCCCCAAGAGCTCGGGTTTTATGTGGGCCTTCCCCTGCCCTCCGAGCCGAGCCGTCTTAGAGAGATGTTTTCTGCAACACGGGGCCGGTGGGCCGTTGCTTCTGGTCAAGTGTCACCTATAGGCATGCTAATGTCCAAAGCGCACGAATCATACTTGGCACGACCGACCGCAAGAGTTTCTTGTGAATCGTTTGCATTGCGATGTGAGTGTGGGGATACGTGTTGAGCGATGATGCTGATGTCTGCCACCTGCTGTGTCTCTTCCAGACCCTCAGAAGCCAAGACCTACTTGCCGTTGGAGCTGCCATTTATAGCTCTTCGGTCACTTCATGGGTGATTCGGTGCGACAGTAACCCGCTAGCAACTCCAACCCCGGAAGCCCACCTGAAACATCACTGACATATTTTGCAGCTTCAGCTCTCACAACGTGGCCTGAGCCTGCGAACCTTGTGTCTCCTGGTGGGTATACGATCTGCGGAGGGCTTGTAGAGTGCCGCCGTGGGGCGCCGCAAGGCTCTGGCTCATGAGGCCCTTACGTTTGTGGCAGAGGCCGCTCTTTCTGCGAGACATCTGGTGCAGGCCTGCGCCCCCTTGAAATGGATATCGGCAACCTGCCTGAGAAGCTACAAGAAGCAGAAGCTGCCGAAGGGCCCTCGGAGGTGCGTCACTGAAGTGAGTCTTGTCTTCCGGTGCGCTGCGTTTCTGCCTGCATCTCGCAGAGCGAGTCTCCGGCCGGAGGGGAAGTGCAGGGGCCCCGGGATCGCATTGGGCATGCCGCATGGCTGTTTCATAGTTTATCACTATTCTTGAGCCAGTCGATCGATCTCAGTTTTTCCTGTGTATTTCTTCAGCATCTACGTCCTCATGTACGAATGTGCGTGGATCCGATTCTAAAGCCCCAATTCTAGACATCACTGTAAACCCGAGTACCCGAGCTAACCCCGCCAGAGGTTAGAAGAGACCCCAAGCTGAATCCCCTCCCGGCGAGTCCAGCCGACTCCCACGGATGCCCGGCTGGGTGCTCGCGCACTACTGCTAGTTCCTAGTCTAGTTGTGCCAGTACTGTTTGCGTTTCTTATTGGGACCAAAATCTAGGCTTGAACACATTACGAGCACTGCTAGTTGCCAGGGTTACTGCCACTATCTTTGCTGTTTTCGAAGCAGCTGCGATGGCTCCTGTTGCAACGCCACAATCATCTGCGGGTGCTGCGAGTGTTGGGGGTGTCATTATTTCTGCATTTTCATGGTAATCTATCGCTGCTAGCGTTGACAGCCTTGTTGCGCTGAATTGTAACGCAGCATGATCTGGGTGATAGTCGGACCTTTACAGAAAGCACGTTTGTTTGCAATAGCTTGAAGCTTTTGGCCTTTCGTGGCATAGCCTCTGTTGATGTTTCCTGCCACCTCCGAATCCCACACCATCAAGCCTCAACCCCTGCCCCTACAGTCCCTACAGCCATACACCCTAGACCCGCTAAAGACCCTGCACTCTACACCGCAAAGCTTCGTTCTGAAGATGGTGCACTCCTTCGTCCAGCCTGGAGGCGACGTTCCTTCTCGGATCCCCGAAGCCAGCGAAGCAGGCTTGGGATCTTCAAGAGTCGGGTTTCGAAGGGGGACCAGAAGGGTTTGAGAATCGCTGTGAGGACCCTGACCTCGACGATCTCCCCGCGTCTCCCCGGGGTCCCCGTCCGCCCGGTCCTTAAGGAAGGACCTTTTCTTTCGCCTCTGGCTCTCGCCCCCTGTCTCCTCTTGGAGCTTTTTGTGTTTTTTTTTCTGAGGCTATGGTGTCCACTCCATTCAGAATCAGCGCAGCGAGATGGAGGCAAAAGTTTCCCAAGGCACCGTTCCTGCCAATGCCTCCTCTCGGCAGGATGCTCATCGGGCCGTCTTAGGCGCAGCCTGCTGCAGCCCTTCCCTTCGAGCTCAGGCGGGCTCTCGGATTGTTGGCTCTCTCGAACTCCTTGGTGGCCCCTTTCTAGGCAGAGAGGTGGCTTGGGAATCTCAGCTACTTCTCAGTCTTCGATGGGCCAGAGCCACAGAACGAAGTCAGCGGTGGCTTTGGTCGCGCTCTCCTCTGTTGTGGTCTTTTGAGGCACGGCGGTTCGCGAGCTGCAGAGTTCTCCAGCGATCGCCTGGAAGCCAAGCGATGCCAAGCTCGTCCAGGCAAATCAGAAAAGCGCCGAGTCTCCGAGGTCTTTTCAGCCTACTCGTGGAAAATCGCGATGAGCTGCATGCGGAGCGCACGGGGGAGCTCAACCCCTCGCCCCCTCCCTAATCAAGATGCTTCTGAAAGGAGCCGGAGCTCGCCCTGCAGAAGGCCTTTGCGCAGACAGAGGCGGGAAGGTCGCCTCGGCTGCCTCGGCTCTCGGCTCGCGGCTTGGGCTTGGGAAGGCCGACTGGTTGACCCTGGCCAGACAAGAAGACCTCATGGATGGTACCTAGCCCAGAGTAGCCCAGCCCAAGCGGAGCAGCCTGGGCCCCGGCCTCTGAGGTACCACGGCGGCAGTGGTGGTCGTCGACCGCATGGCCCGTCTCCCACGAACTTAGCCAAGACACCTCCCTAAACCTCTAAACCCTAAACCTATTAGCAGTGTTGTCCGCTCCAAGACGCTCTTGGCAAACCGCGGTTGTGTGCTGTATCTGCTGCGATTCTAGGGAGGCAGTAAGAATGCTACAACACGATAGCGTGAGAGGGGTCCCGTTCATCGAGTGATCCGGGGCTTTACTGTGAAAGCCCTGGTTCCCAGGGCCCTGGGAGGACTAGGGTAAAGCTCTCCTGCAGTATTCAACCATGTGCCCAGCAGCTGAGGCGCTGGCCATTGTGTTGCCAATCAGCATCATTGCCTTGTTAGGGAGCAAGATGTTCAACAAAAGTAGTTGCTACTTTGCATATTGTCGCTGTCATCATACTTTGCGCCAGGGTAGCAAGTGTTCCAGTTCGTACGCGTGCCAAAAGTGCTTCGGACAGCCAGAGATCTGCTGCAGGCCGGCCGATGCATCGTTGGCAATGTGGGTGACAGCGAGGTCGCCCGACAGACCCGACGCATGAACAAGGCATGTTCTAGAGACCAGCTACCCGCTACCAGAAAGAGACAGTGGAGCTTCTTACTTGGACTACAGGCTTAAACTGCTTAAGCTGCGGAAAGCATCCGAAGTTTGAAACCAGGTGATGCTCGGAGGGCGTAGCCCCGATGGCAGCATCTACGCCCAGGCTCTCACCGAGGTCCACCACTGCAAAAGGCGCCACACTTCGGGAGGGATCCAAGAGGGAGAAGTCGCGAGTTTCAGATTAAAGCCCCGGGAGCGGCCCAGTAGAGTTACGACGACTCGCTGGGGCCGTGGGTTTTGGAAGGATTCATGGATCAAAGTGCAAGGTTGTCTGACTGTTTCGGTTGCAGAGGAAGAGTGTTCCTAGGTCCGCGTGTTCTCCTGAACACTACGCTGTCGACCGTAATTAGACCTCCAGCTAAAACCATCCGTTATAACACAAACACAGCATTGAAAGGCCATTCAAGACCCCCTGCAATACCCCAAAAAACTATATACGCCCTTCCGAGACTCCGACCTGCAGCTTTGTTTTTTGTTTGTGTTCCTATGTATCTTTCATATTGTATGTGTATATATATATATATATTTATGTTTACTTTTATTTGTCTATATATATATATATACATACACACACACACACACGGTTGTTCTCTGTGTGTTCTGTCCCCCCCCCCGGGCAATGGTCCCCCCTCCCTCCCCAAACACACGGGGGGGGGTTCTGCGCCAACGAAGGCGCCTCCACCACAGGTAACCAGAATCTTTCTTGTCAAAGATGTGGGCTCACCCCCGCGCGTCTGGAGTCTATTGGGTCCCTCTAGGCTTCGCCCCCAGACCCTGTCGAAGACCGGCATGGCCAGCAGGCCAGCACCACAGTGGCTCACTTTGCTGTAACGGCACGGCCCACCAAACGCCAGCAACCCACCATCCCGAAGTAGTCTGCGGCGCTACCACAGCGACTGCCAAGCGGACCCAAGCACCACCCCAGGCCAAGCCATCGCCGCAGACAATCCAACCACCGGCCCAAGCAGAGAGAGAGAGAGAGAGAGCCTCATCGTGGCAGCCGAACCCTCAAGCAGTCTCACACCGACATAAACAGACGTGGACTCAGGCGTAGCGCGTGAGCGCAGGGTGAGGGGTCTGAGGGCCCTTTGCCCAAACGCCCGGCAAGCAAGCAAGCAAGCCTCATCGTTTTCACCAGACACCAAGACCAGCAGCAGCAGCAGCAGCAGCAGCAGCAGCATCTGCAGCGGGAGGTGCCCATCGATGACATGTGGCAGCGCCTAAGAGCATCCCTCAATGCCCTGGACACAGATCCGGTGTTCACCCTCTCAGCCAGCTCAAGCAACTACACAACGCATCAGTGGTGCCCCCCATACAGCAGAAACCGCCCCAAACCCATCACAACAAGATGTTGGATGGGCCAGCTCAGTAATCGGGCCACGGGGACCGCCCGTGGTTCAAGCCCCGAGCAAGTCGCGAGCGAGAGAGAGAGAGAGAGAGAGACTGCGCAGGGGGCAACTCCTGTGTCCACAGCCCTGGCGAAAGAAAGACTGCGCAACGTTGGGCGGGGACTGAGCGAGTGCACAGTCCAGAGAGAAAGAGATCGATAGATCTTGTCGGTTTTGGTCTCTGTTGTGCGCTCTCCGCCCGCACACATCCCACTTTCCCTCCCTCCGTCCTCTATGGATCTGCAGACATGGCAGTAAACGGCGCAGTCTCCCTGTGAGGAGCCACTCCGAGTCCCAGCGCATCCAGGAAAACCGAAGAGTTGGGCAGTGCTGCAGTGCCGCCAGTGTCGATTGGATTCGGAGCATGCCGCTTCCGAGGATCTTGGTGGTCGCGTCTGGCACGGCCGGCTAGGCTGTGGGATACTG